GCTCTAACTAGAACATTCAGGTCTGGAGACTTCAATCTTCCCATTTGTAAATAAAAAGGAGGACCCTTTGGTTTGAGGCTGACTTTACTGTTTAAAGACAATGTTAGCACACTCTTGAAAACTTCCTTGAACCTCTCTGTACTGACAACTAATGAGAGTTAATAGCTGCCGTACCTACCGACTGGCTAATGTCCAGTTCTACTTTCTCAGCTGCCGATTTCCCGGCGGGGCCACAGCTACTTTTCCAGGCCCACTCAGCTCCTGTGAGTCACCTCACATACTACGCTCACCGGCAACTCAAATCCCAAGTGGTACAGGCACTGCATCCTATACCAGCTTGCGTGGTTTATATTGTTTTATTTTTGTACGAATTATGAGAGTACATATTGCTCCCTTCAGACAGTTTTGCTAAATTCAAATATACACTGTCTTCCTTTCTTAGAATACGTATGCTGGTTTTGATTAATTTTTTTTTATGTTCTCAGTTTAATCATCTATTGTGTTTTCTGACTTCCAAATTACTGGTATTCATATATAACTTCATCATATGTTTACAACCTTAAGAAACAGTTCCTTCATAATAAAGATACAGAAAATAAATAATTCTTCCTTTGTGTGTAATCAATGTTTATATATCAAGAGATTATAGGCATCAAAAACTGTTTTTGAATACATATTTGCATTTGCTTATGAAATGAATGCATATTTGCATTTGCTAATGAAAATGAATATTATATAAGTATAATATGTACCTGGAAGAATAAACAGCACCTATTAATAGCGGCTACACGGAAGGGATTTTTTTTCACTGTATGCCCTTTTATATGTTTCTACTTTTTTAAACCATATGATTACATAACCTATATTAAAAATCACATTTAAATATTATAAACAGTATAAATTTAAAATGCAAAAAAAACAGCCTTTATACCACAGCAAGAGTTAGATAGGATCCTATCATTTAAGGGATTCTCAAAAAGCCATCTTCCCCAAAAATATTTTTCTCACCAGCCACCCTGACTTAAATCCCCTGGTGAATATGCAAACATACACTCTCAAGACAGTAAGTGCATTATGCCATTATCCATTATCATGATTGAGGATCAGTTTATCATATTAGCATAATAAAGGAAAGTTACAAAGAGGCTGTGTATAGTCTCCCTAATTCCTATTTCTTTTCCCTTTTCCCCTCAAGTAACTAAATTAACTTTGTTTTACTCAAAGGACTTTTGTTTGTATTAGTAAAAGAACTCATTTAGGAATTCTTGGAAGCCCTACCCAAGCCGACTGGAGCCGTGGACTGCTGTGTGAACGTTTTCACTGTCTCTGCAAACATCTGCCCTCGCATGCAGTCTGCTCCATCAGCCCGATCTCCTCAGCCCCAGGGGCTGGCACAGGGAGTATCTTGTTCACCTGTGAATCCTACCACTCCCAACACTAACACATCGCATACACTTACAGAAAGAGATTATGCAAGCTCGTTTTGACACCTGTGGCGAGGCTCTGATCGTCTCTGTGAAACCACAGGTGAAATTCCAAATCAAAAACGTCAAGCAGATACTTAAATTTGTTCTCACCTCAAACAACAGTCCTTCCATTCAGGCAAAATCCATCTACTAATAGCCTACTATGTCCCTGGCATGACACGTAGCAATTAACGAGGCAAAAAATGACCTGGCAAGATCAGAATAGCAAATATGTACCAGATAATAAGTAAATGCTTATTAATTTATTTAAGATGTGATGAACTTCTTGAACTTCCTTGCCTAAACTTTGAAAAGTCGTTCATTACTGTTTTCTTTACATGGCACTAGACTTCAGTTTCCCATATGCCATTAGCACATGGCTTTTTCCCATTATATGAAGATGCACTTTGTAATTCTGGCCCAGTAATTAAAATAAGTTTTCTAAAGTATTGATTCACTTTCACCATATTTCTCTTGCTGTTGCCTAGAGTCAAGTAACCTTGGCTAATGAATCTGAAGCCCTTGGTCCCAGAGAGATACCAGCAACTGGCCTGGCACAAGACCAAACTACACCCTGAGAATATGACAGCCTACTCAGCAAAACTGGACTAACAATTTTAACAGGAGGAGAAGGCCGCCCCTGAGCATCACAGCTTCCATCCGCTGGCCTGCGGGCAACTCCAAGCTTTTCTCAAGTGAGGCCCAGATACTTGTCAAGACTTTAGTATCAACCTTCCTGACTTCACACACAAGTTTCCTTAGTAGCTGAAAATATGGTACCTGAAATAAATGGTACCTGCAAGGAATAACAAAAGATATCAATCACAGGTCCTAACTGCATGGAGTTTATAGCCAATAACTATACTGAGAAGCACGCAGAAGCATTTGAACACTCCTAGACACGAAAACACCTTTTCCCTTTTAGTTGAGGCTTCTCTAGCTGCCTACTTTTAACAATGTATGCATCTTTTTCCTCTATAGAAGGAAGTCAAGAAGAAAAAAAACAAGGAGAGAGGGAGGGAGTGACAGACAGATTGAAGGATAGCTCCCAATGTCTGACATAGCTGCCTGACACTAGAATAATCCAAATGTATAAGAATGAATGAGGGCCCTGGGTAGCTCGGTTGGTTAGATCATTGTCCTGATAAGCCAAGGTTTGCAAGTTTGATCCCCGGTCAGGGCACAGACAAGAATCAACTAATGAATATATAAATAAGTGGAAAAACAAGCAAATGTTTCTCTCTGTCCCTCTCCCCCTCAAATCAACTTTTTAAAAAAAGAATAAAATGAGGATCCTTTCCTTCATGCTGAGCCAAAATTTCTTGTAGTAAAGTAGTCACTGTATCTTAAGAGGCACCATTTGGTTCAGTACTAAGCAGCCTCCCCCTCCACATATGTTAAATGACCTGTGTGGTCCAGCTTCTACCCCCACAGAACTGCAGCTATTTTATACTACACCATGTGCTTATGCTTCCATTCATAAAGACAAGAACTTCTTTTTTAAAAACCCTTATTCTTAGAAACAGCACAACTAAAGCCACCAGGACTATTTTAAAAAAAGAATTGTAGGTGATTAATATGCATTTCAACTTTAAATAACATATAACTTGATTTCCTAATGTACTTACTTTCTTATTTAAGGCTATTATAAGAATCCAAATTCTAAAAGAATGACCAATAATTTCCTTTCCTTAGATTATACTTCATCTCTTCTACCTGAAATCTTCGGATAATATACATAAGAGATTATATACAGTTAGCTTGCTGTCACATTTAAAGTACTATTTTCTCTAATTCCTCTACCAAACTGGTTTTCTGCATTATCCAACTGTTACCTACCCAGAAACGCAAGTGAGCTGGGAGGTTGAGAGACTGTGTTTTCCAGGTATTAGGGTGGTAAACCACAGGACAGGAGGCTTCCAGACCCTCTGCGCTGGACCTCCGCCAGCTTTGACCCTATCCTCACCTCCTACACTTCCTGTCCCTGCTTACTAGGTGCCCATTTGTTGTTTTCTTTTTCAAATGGGTGCCAGAACCAACAATCCTCAGCCGCCCAGATATAAAAAATCTATGTGTCCCCCCCCCCCATACAGAGCAATCAAGCTGCCTGCCCTATGAGTGCCGCTCCCCAACGAAGCCATTCTTAACCGCTTTTTGTTTCATAGTTTGTATCACTATCCAAAAGTATCTCATGTGTTCACTGGTCCCCTACAGGAATATAATCTCTGGAGAGATGTGCATTCATGTGTCTTGTTGATTCAGTGCCAGCTTCCAGAATAATCTCTGGCTTGTACAAAATACTCAGTAAATACACACTGAATTATAACTTCTTACAATACTCTAGAGAATTGCAAGGTCATTTATAATTGATCAGTGATGAATAAACCAACTAGTAAAATCTTGGGGTTTTTTTTCATTTTATCATTGTAGAGAAAAGCAAGACGAAAAATATACCTGCTCCCCAACTCTTGCTAAATTAGACGTGAGAAAATGGACAGCTAAGCGAAGGGTTTTCTTAAGAAAAGTCAATATTACTAATCTTTGAGGCTACTTATGAAAAACAGAAGTTCCTCTTTCTTAATTCACTGAACTGTTGATCAACCGACTGCCTGACCTACCACTCCCCAGCCAGTCGCTCGGCGCTGCATTCAGGCCAGGAAAGGCTAACGTTAGTTGGTGAAGAGCAGTGATGATTTTTACAAAGAAGCAAGCGGGTCTTAGCACAAACACACACAAAACCCAAGGGGCCATGGTCCCTCTAAAAAATATTCTTAGGAAGCCACTACCACAAAGCGCCTGGGTAACTTCAGTTTAATGTCAGTATCATTCAGCTGAGCCGCGAGTGTCAGGCTAAGACAGAGTCAATTTCATTTAAGGGAATGAGCCGGAAGCTGGGAGGCAGAGAAAGTGGGGGTTTGCCACGAGGGAAGAAAAGATTTCATTGAAAACACTGCTCGCTCCTAGATTCCCTAAGCACCGCCCCACTGTCCCTTACCTCACCGACGACAGCTTTCCTTTTGTGGCACACTACAGTGATTTCTGGCAACCCCCTTCGTGAATCGCAGAAACTAGGCGGGACTGCGTTACTTCTCAACATGGTGGGGACAGGATGTCGCGGTATCAGGCGCACGCTGGCTTGAGTGTGAGGGGCTGGGGGAGTGACTTGGGCCAAGTTGGTCTCTCTGAGCCAAGTTCCCTTCTCTGTAAAAGGTCCTGAAGTTACCTTCCACGGAGGACGGTTAGCAGAACCAACTATAACGACCGACCCCGGGTGCCGCGCCTGCGCCCGGGGAACGCCGCGCACGGCTGCCTGGCACCCGCCGCAGAGCAGCATCGGGAAACTGGGATGGTGGCTCGGCCAGCACGGCGGTGACCGAGGATGGCTGTGGAGCGACTCCACCGCCTAACACCGTGCTTCTCGGCCGGTCCCGCCGCGACCCCGGGGTCTCGGAGAGCGGGCGGCGAGCACCAGGGGCGGACAGGGCCAGGCCGAGGCCGGGGCGTGCGAGGCGGGGTGGGGAGGCCGGTACTCACCCCCGGCCGGCGGCAGGCGGCCGCGGCCAGCTGCTCCCAGGTGGCGGCGAAGTCAGGCGGCGGGGCTCGCCGGCTCCGGCAGACGAGGGAGAACAGGGTCCCCAACAGGAAGGCGGCCGAGGCGCAGCCCAGGTACAGGACAAGGCTGAGCAGGGCGGCGCACGGCCCCGTGCCTCCTGCCTCCTGCCAGCAGCCGGGCCCCAGGTAGGCGAGGGACGCGGCGGCGAAGACGGCCACGGCCACTGGCACCCTCCAGCTCCCGCCGCCAGGGCCCCTCGGAGCCGCCGCGTCCTCCCAGGGCTCCGGCCGCTGCTCGCCCGGAGCGCCCACGGCCGGCGCGGGGCTGGAGCCGGCGCCGCTGCTGTCGGTGGCATCGGGGTGCATGCTGCTTCCTGGGCCGCTAAGGACAGGCACATCTCCTGCCGTGCTGTCCCCCGGCGCAGCCCTGGACCGTGGCCTCTGCGCGGCGCCTCCTGCCCTCGCCTCTCCCGCCGCCGCCGCCGCCGCCGCTCCGGAGGCAGAGGGAGTCCGCGCTCATGCCCTCGCCAGCGGCCCACCGAGGGAACGGCTCCGACAGACGCCGCCGAGCTCCTCTCGGCGACCCCTCAGCGCCGCCACTCGGCGCCGGGCCCGCAGCTGCCCGCCGGGCGCGTCCAGGTAGCCGGGCAGTGTTGTGACTTAAGCAGGCGAAGCCGGAGGCGGGGCGGGGGGCGGGGCGGCCCCGAAGTGCGAGCTAGGCGGGGGGCGGAGAGCGGCCGCGGCCCGCTGAGTGACAGCTGGGAGGTGCCCGCCCTCCGCAGCCGGGGGAGAGGTCTGACCCGCCGCTGCCACTCAGGGGGCGCTAACACCCGCTGCAGAAACCACTCCGTGCTCGGCCTCTCAGTCCCGCCAGGACACGGTCTGTGGATGGAAAATTTTGCTGCAGGTGTCAGAAACATTTGTAATTCTCGAGCTCAGGTGATTCCTTAATCCTCGCTCTCGGTTCATCCCTGACAAGTAACCTTGCACGCTTACAGTCCCCCAAATTCTTGCCTTGTTTTCACCTGCTACTTAGATTAAACGGTCAACCATTCCTGATCCTCACTTTCAACAGTTTCCCCTAACAGCCTTTCTTTTCCCATTCGGCAGCCTCATGGAAGGAATCAGACAAACGTGGAGGAGTAAATGAAGCCTGCAATTCGTAGTTGTGCCAAGGCCCAAAGAAATCGGCCTGGTGCCAGGCGGGTACCAGCTGCCATCATCACTTTGGCTCCAAGTCCCTACATTTCGTGCCAGCGATTCAATGCAAATGCTTTTGCCCACGCAAATGAAAGTGGTCCAAATAATTTTTAGAGTACATATTTTCTATCATGGTCCCAGCGTTAATATACAGATAATGCTTGCTGAGAGGATGCCAATATGCTAGAGAAATAGTTACTACTAAGACCAGTGAAGCAGCAGATGTATCTTTAACGGATAAGAGAATTCTAAAGGACATAAGGAATTCTAAAGGAATTAATGATTATTTAAAAAGAGGGTGATAGAGTAGAAAGACCAAATCCACAATAGTAAAGGGAAGAAAAGGAAGGAGTTTCTATTTCTCACTATTTCCTTCATCTTGACAAATTTCAAGTTTAAAGGTGCTATTGTTTTCCCATAAATTGAGTTATATCCTGCTTCCCAGTAAGCATAGTTAAGAAAAATAAGGATTAAAGTATTTTTCAGTACTGTCACTATACTGTTTTTCTAAGCAATGTGTCATGTCAACAGAGAAAAATATACAACATTCATCAGTGAATTATTTAGTGCATATTCTTTTAAAGCAATGTATTGTCTAAGAGGTTATTATTCAAAAAAAGAAATAGTGATGTCCATGGACATACATAATTACATAGACATAATTAAATGAGTTATTTTATATATCTATATGAAATGCATTTATGTGTGTCATTTAAAAATATTTTTTGTTTTAAATATTAGTATTCATGTGACACTTCTTTTAACTTGTAAGTCGAAGACTAGAAGGCAATGGCTGCCTTATGTCAGATGTGACTTTGCCATGCCTAGATGGCATCAGAAGAAGTTACAAACTTCCTGTTCTCCTTGCCTTCAAACCCCCCTTTAAAAAAAATAAATAAAGCAGTGTAACTGAATTTGAAGCATTCCTTTTGCCTCTAAAATAGTGAACATTGATTTCACTAGCACTCCTCCCAGTGTACCCTACTGATCCAAATTATTTCAAGGAAAGCATGGGTAGCTTGTTATTACCAACAATCATATCTGTATTTTTTGTTCATGTACATGCCAAGGACTGTGTGTTGAGCGCTTTCTATAAATTTTCCAATTTAAGCCCATAGCCGACAAAAACAGTATCTAATTGCACAGACTGTGTGCCAGGTACCATTGCAAGCACTAGACATGCTTTATCTACATCATGGCAACCCTGATTACGTCACCTCCATCTACACTGGAGGAACCCAAGGCGGAGAGGTGAAATGAATAACCTGCCCAACATTTCAGAGCTAATAAATATCATGGTCTGGCTTTAGAGCTGTGCACTTAACCATGATGCCATGTTGCTTCCTAAAAACTGTCATTTATTCACCCCATATTACAGAGGAGAAAAAAACGGGGTTTAAATCCATGAGCTTAAGACGTGCATTCCATGCTTTTTTTGTTGCTTTGTGAGTATAGCTGGTGGTCTTTTAGCCAGGCCTCTGACAAGTGCTAAGTGATTATAACTCGAACCAGTAAAGGACAAACTGGCCTTACTTTTATTACGAGCCTCGGTCTGCCACTCGGAAGACCACAGTCTTTCCAGCACACCAGCATATTGTTCCCAACGTACTGCACATCTGGAGAAGTGTACAGTCATGGTCAGAAAACCTCCTCAAAGCATATGCCATTTTGCTAAGTCAGCACCGACACTTCAAAGATTCTCTTAACAAATAGCATCGGGGCCCTATCCTGTGCAAGGTTTGAAGAACGCGGGTGTCAGGTAAGATAAGGGAATACAAGGCAGTGAGTGACTAGAATCAGCAGGTACTGAGGGAGATGAGCCCAGAAGTCAGGTGTTACATCAGAATCCCTGGGTTCCTTCCCAGAAGTCGATGCTGAGTCCTTCCAGGTCTAAGGGTTAAAGAGCAAATTAAGTAGAGATGCCTTATTTATATTCCCTAAAGCCAGCAGGTTTTGACAGGCAATAACTGAGTGTTCTATAGGCTATCTTTATTACTCTCTCACATAGGATGGAATGGCATCTGCCTTTCCTCATTGGGATATTATAAAGACAAGTTAAGTGGAAAAACTGACATTGAAAATATTAGGTAGTGTAAACAAGGAGACAACACCTGATCTGTCGAAATATATGACTGCCCTCCCCACCCCACTGTATTTCTCCTTAAACCCTGGTCCACCCTGGAAGTAGCTACAGGACGAGGGAGAAAACCACAGTATTTGCCCTTGACCACTTTGGGAAAAATTGTGAATAAAGGTGTTAACATGAGTCAAAGGACCTAGATATTACTCCAGTTTCTTCTACTTATTCACTGTAAGACCCTAACAGGTCAGTTAATACCCCTTTCTTGTAACTTGCATGCCCAGTGTGGTTTACAAAAAATGTAGATACGTGTGGCCAATCTTCAAAAAGAAAAGTGAGAAATCATAAAATACTTTAAAAAACAAATAGCGGTTGGCTAAAGCTTAGAGAAAACATGGTGGAGCATTTCTAAGAGGAAGCTAAATCTCTCAGCAAAATTTTGGAACACACATTTTATAACTAATGCCGAGTGGCACTCCATGTTAGTGCAGCCGCGCCTCCTTTTATTGCACTTTGCTGTACTGCACCTCACAGGCGGTGCACTTTTTACAAGTTGAAAACTCGTGGCAACCTTGGTCAAGCTAGGCTATCAGAGCCATTTCCCAACAGCATTTGCTCACTTTGTGTGACATTTTGGTATTTTCTGTAGTATTTCTAACTTTTCCATTACTATTTTATTTTCATGGTGCTCTGTGATTTTTGATGTTACTACTGTAACGTTTGAAGGTGCCACAAACTATACCCACATAAGATGATGAATTTAATTGATCAGTGTTGTTCTCTTGACTGTTTCAGACGAGACCAAACGTTCCCATCTCTCTCTCTAGTGCATGCACGCTCGCGTGCGCGCTCTCTCTCTCTGCCCTAGGCTTCCCCTCACACATAACAATATCAACATTAGGACAATTGATAACCCTCCGATGGCCTCTGAAGTGCTCAAGTGAAAGGAAGAGTAGCACATTTCTCACTTTAAATCAAATGCTAGAACTAATTAAGCTTAATAAGGAAGGCATGTGAAAGCCAAGGTAAGCCGAAAGCTAGGCACTTCGTGTCAGTTAGCCAGGTTGTGAATGCAAAGGAAAAGTCCTTGAAGGAAATTAGAACTGATACTCCAGTGAACATATCAATGATAAGAAAGCAAAACAGCCTTATTGCTGAAATGGAGGCATTTTTACGGATTTGGATAGGTCAGACTAACCCCACATAAGCCAAAGCGCAATCCACAACAATGGCCTAATTCTTCAATTCTGTGAAGGCTAAAAGGGATGAGGAAGCTGTGGAAGAAAAGTCTGAAGCTAGCAAGGGTTGGTTCATGAGGTTTAAGGACAGAAGTCGTCTCCATAACATCAAAGAGCAAGGTGGAGCAGCCAGTGCTCCAGAAGATCTAGATGACAGGTGAGGGTGGCTACAGGAAACAACAGATTTTCAGTGTAGATGAAATAGCCTTCTATTGGAAGAAGAGGCCATCTACGAGTTTTACGGGTGGAGAGAAGGCAATACCTGGCTTCAAAGGACAGGCTGACTCTCTTGTGGGGGCTGAAGCAGCTGGTGACTAAGACGAAGCCAGTTTTCATTTACCACTCAACAATCCTAGGGCCCTTAAGAATAATGCTAAATCTACTCCTCCTCTGCTCTATACAGGGAACAAAGCCTGGAGAATAGTATATCTGTTTACAACATGATTTGCTGACTATTTTAAGCCTACTGTTCAGAAGAAAAATATTCTTTTCAAAATATTACTGCTCATTGACAATGTGCCTGGTTACCCACCCAAGAGCTCTGATGGAGACTTATGAGATTAAAGTTATTTCCATGCCTGCTAACACAACATCCATTCTGCAGTCCATGGATCAAGGAATAACTTCAACTTTCATGTCCTACTATTTAAGAAATGCATTTGTAAGGCTATAGCTGCCATGGATAGTGATTCCTCTAATGGATCTGGGCAAAGTCAATCAAAAACCTTCTGGAGATGATTCACCATTTTAGATGCCATTAAGAATATTTTGTGACTCTTGG